ATTTGTGCATATTAATCACCTAATTTGCATAATTAGTTAATTTTCAGCTTTTCCACGGGTATCTCAAGTACTAATCATCGCATTTCAATGAAACTTGGTACATAGATCTTTTAGGACTATGCAGAGACCTGATTAGTTTCAGGGTAAATAATTGTGCATATTAATTACCTAATTTGCATAATTAATTTTCAGCTTTTCTACTGATATCTAAAGTACTAATCATCACATTTCAATGAATCTAAAATTATGCTGAGACCCAATTAGTTTTTGGTAAATAGTTGTGCATATTAATCACCTAATTTGCACAATTACCCAATTTCCAACTTTCACACTGATATCTCACTGATATCTCAGGTACTAATCATCACACATCAATGAATAGACAGACCTGGATAATTGTGGGTTAAAATCTGTACATATTAATTACCCAATTTGCATAATTAACCAATTTTAAGCTTTCACACTGATATCTAAAGTACTAATTTCCATTTTAATGAAACTTAGTACAAAGATGCTCTATGACAATGTACAAACCTAATTAGTTTGGGGTAAAACTCGGTTCATATTATTTCCCTAATTAGCATAATAATTCATAAATTTTTGGTTCTAATCACATTTCAATTAAACTTGGTACATAGAGTTTTTGTTACATTGCGCAGACCTCATTAGTTTTACAATCAAATCTGTTCATGTTAATTTTCTGATTTGCATAATTAGTTTTCAGCTAAGTAATTTCAAATTATATTTAATGTGTCTCCAAAACTCTCAGCACATGGGAGTTCTTTCTAAGCTTTCTTTGATTTAAAAAGTGTAATATACACTTTGGCTCCTTGTAAATTATCAAATTAATACTGTATTTGCTCTAATAGTAGCATATGTGCTTACATAAATGACATTGTTGTGTCTACGACTGAAAGTAGCAATACTTGAATGATTCAGTATACAATTAAGGTAATTGATGGTTTACATGCGCTTCTATCGGAGCAGTCAACGTGTGCATTAATATGCACTTCATTTCATGAATGAATGTGGAAGATATTCCATACAGGTAGTATGAATCTACTGATGCATTGTGATTGGTCAGATTGGTTTAATTTACCATTTCAATAAATTGTTGATAAAGTAATTTATAAGCTTATTTTTTGTTGAAATATATATCTGGGTATTGCAGAATACTTAATTGACACTTTGATTTTGTTTTTCCTGAATGGGTGAATTAGTAAAATAAAATATATTTATATGTGATTCAGTCTTATGCCTCTAATTCTCATGTCATGAAATATCTCCATTTGTATTCTTAGGTATGGTAGAGGATTTGGTGTAGTAGAACACATACTGGGTAAAGACAGTATGTTGAATATGCCGAATAGTTTATTTGGAATTGTGTTTTTCTTTCTGCAGTATGTATTAGGTAAGCTCATAGATATATGCAATGTTAGTCTCAAGTATGAGAGCCCTCTAATGTCTTTATGTAGAAAAACTGTTTTTTTTTTTAATGACAAATCTGTGTTGATTCTAATACTTAATCCTCTGTGTATTTTGACAGGTCAATTTATCAGTCATCCCGGATCGTTTTTACTACTTTCTACATCTATATTTGCAAACATGGGTTCTGTGTATCTTGCCTATATACTATATTATGTTCTTCATGATTGCTGTCTTGTCTGTGTTTCCACCTACGTGGTAAATTTCTTATTACTGGTTGTAAACATCAGACACAACATCTTTGTCAAGGAAATGTTAAAGAAAAAGAAAGTGTAACCATTGATAGTATCAGGAAGTATCTTTATCAGTAGATGTATTGATAAATGTACATATCATATAGAATTATGACAGTTCAATATCACGTACATATGTGACTTAATCCTAATCCACTAATTTACTATCTCCATTTTATAGTCTGTCACATTTTCCAGAGTGCTCTTCAACGTCAACAACCATGGCATCTGGTGCCATTAATCTACTACAAATTTACCTGAATGTTGTTTTTGTTTCTCTGAGGTTTGTACAGATAACTATAATCACCATGGTTTCACTTTGTATGACACTGATACCTGTGTTGAACACATTCAACAATTACTGTGAGACTATGTAGCATAGGTCATTTTGTCATTTCTTGAGAACTCTTCTGGGATATAAAATTCAATCTGATATAAAATGTTGAGGTCACATTCTGAGCTGCAATCTATGGAACCTTGGAATTACACCAATGCATCATGGTAAATCTAATTTGCGTGTCCCGCCTAGTTGTTGTTTTCATAACAATGATTACCCAACTCAAACTTAATAGCACCTCTCAAGCAGTGGCATTCTGGGAATGAATCAGTACCTAACCATACTCAGTGACACACTATTTTCAATGATTTAAACAAATATTTACATTATTTATGTGCATTTTTGACTCTCGTGTGCGTCGCTCACAATGGGAGTCTTTACAGTTACCATGTATGTATGTGTGTCCGTCTGTTCCACTGATATCTCAAGAACCATACATCAGTTTTTGATGAAACTTGGTGCATAGATGCTCTGGGCTAATGCGCAGATTTGATTAGGTTTTGGTAAAATGTCATGCATATTAATCACCTAATTTGCATGATAATAAGCTAATTTTCAGCTGTTCCATGACTTTTCCATTGATATCTAAAGAACCACATTGGATTTTGATGAAACTTGGTACATGGATGCTTTGAACTAATGCTTGGTTTTGATTAGTTTTTGTATTACTAATTACCTAATTTGCATAATGATTAGTCAATTTTCGGTTTTTCTACTGATGTATCAAGCACTAATCATTACATTTCAATGAAACTTGGTACATAGATGTCATAGGACACTGCACAGACCTGATAGTTTTTAGGGTAATGTCAGTGCATATTAATTACCTAATTTGCATAATTAATTTTCAGATTTTGATGTTTCAAGTAGTTAGCATTACATTTAAATGAAACTTGGTACATAGATACTCAAGGACTATGCAGAGATTGATTGTTTTGGGATAAATATGTGTGCATATTAATTACCTAATTTGCATAATTATTTAATTTTCAGCTTTTCCACAGATATCTCAAGTACTAATTATCACATTGCAATGAAACTTGGTACATAGATCCTTTAGGACTATCCATAGACCTGATTAGTTTTAGAGTGAATAATTGTGTATATTAATTACCTAATTTGCATAATTAATTAATTTTCAGCTTTCACACTGATTTCTCAAGTACTAATCATCACATTTCAATGAAACTTTGTACATGGATGCTGTAGGACAGACCTGGATAATTATGAGTTAAAATCTGTACATATTAATTACTAATTTACATAATTAACCACTTTTAAGCTATCACACTGATATCTAAAATACTAATTATTCCATTTCAATGAAACTTAGTGCAAAGATGCTCTAGGACAATGTACAAACATGATTAGTTTGGGGTTAAAATCTGTTTATATTAATTCCCTAATTAGCATAATAATTTATAATTTTTTTTGGTTCCAATTACATTTCAATAAAACTTGGTACATAGATGGTCTGTTACATTGTGCAGACCTCATTAGTTTTCCATTAAAATATGTTCATATTAATTTTCTGATGTGCATTATTAGTTTTTGGCTTTTGTATCACTATCTCTGACAAGTAATTTTGAATTATATTTAATGTGTCTCCAATACTATCAGCACATGGGAGTTTTTTCTAAGCTTTCTTTGATTTAATTTAATTTTTTAAACAAATCATGTCGCTTTCCCATCAAAATCTAATCCAAAAGATCGTACAACAACATCAGCAAATCTCTTCTGCGCTGTGTTCAATAACATTAACATATTCAAATGAGCTATTGTAATTTGAACACGTTGGCATCATCCATCGTTTTCATTCGTTAATTATCGATTTAACCTGTTAGGTCAAAGAACACCATTTCAGGTCAAAACATGGAGGATATTCATTTCTACAGCTTCGTGTGTTGAAAATGCGATCAGAGTCATTCGCTTATGATAGAATAAGTTGAAATTTTTTGCATTTCATAACAATTCAACGAATTTATTTTTTGCACGTTATTATAATCATTTGTAAAACGCAGCATGACCGGATTGCACTACCGAATCATTTGCTACTAAGCAATGCAATTGTGTTCATTGTTATTTGAAACTTAGAATATACTTTCGTTACTAATAAAATGAAACCAAATAATTGAGGTTCGTTGATGTGATTTTTTGGAGAAAGATGCGTGATCTCTTTTTCTTATCCAGTTAGAAAAAGATGTATACAATTTTAGATTAGCTTCTGTAATAGTTTCTTTCGTTTTAAGTGGACCAACAGCCTGCATTGAAAATCGGCTTAGGTGGATTTTTCAATGAAAATATAAGCCTCCTAAAAATATTTGATGATAATTTTTTGAAAATAAGGGCCCACCAGCTGTGAAACTGCCCAGGGTGATTTTTCGGATGGGCGAATTTACGGCAGAATCCGGTAGCTGCCCTGGGCTAATGCGCAGATTTGATTAGGTTTTGGTTGAAATTTATGCATTATAATTACCTGATTTGCATGATAATTAGCTAATTTTTAGCTGTTCCTTGACTCTTCCACTAATATCTGAAGAGCCATTCATTAGATTTTGATGAAACTTGGTACATAGATGCTCTGGACTAATGCACAGATGTGATTAGTTTTGGGTAAAAATACATGCATATAATTAACCTAATTTGGATAATGAAACTTGTTACATAGATGCTCTAGAACAATCCAGAGACCTGATTAATTTTGAGTAAAAATGTGTGCATATTAATCAACTAATTTGCATAATTAGTTAATTTTTGAACAAATCTTAAATTTTGAATTAATCTTAATGTGTCTCCAATACTCTCAGCACACAGGAGTTCTTTCTAAGCTTTCTTCCATTCCATTTATGGCTTGACCATCACCTGGGCATTATTACCTTATGCTGTCATTATTGTGAAGACATTTATATGTAAATATAATAAAAGAAAATAATGGAAAAAATATATTCACTTTATTTTCCCATGACCAAGCTGGTGGACATTTATAACAATTATTTGAAATCATCTATCTATTTTATTTTAATAACTAGCATTATGTTACTGTCAACCAATGAAAATTGTATTTTTAATGATGCAATAAATTTAATATTACTATCATAGTAAGATTCCATTGTAGTTATTTCATTTACAGTCTAAGCATTTAAATGGCCATGCACAAAAAACATTAATATTGATTAAAATTTGATGCAGGTATAGGCTCCATTTTAAAAAAGAAATGTATTTATTTTTGACTCCTGTTTCAATAACCGCTGGACAGATGAAACTTGAGATACTCTGGGATAATACGGACCTGATTTGTTTTGGATAAAAAAAAAATCATATGATTAGTTTTAGGTTGAACGTATTCATCTAAACTACCTAATTTGCATAATAATTAACCTATTTACCACCTACCGGTATATCTCAAAACGAATTATTACAATTTCAAAGAAACTTGTATAAGTGCCTGAAGGACAATGGCTACTATAAAGACCTGAATAGTTTTGGTTTGAAATTCAAGCATTCTGATTACATAATTTCCATAATATGCATACTGATACATAATTTCCATAATATGCATACTGATACCTAATTTCCATAATATGCATACTGATACCTAATTTCCATAATATGCATACTGATTACTAATTTGCATAATATGCATACTGATTACTAATATGCATACTGATTACTAATTTGCACAATATGCATACTAATTACTAATTTCCATAATATGCATACTGATACCTAATTTCCATAATATGCATACTGATTACTAATTTGCGTAATATGCATATTGATTACTGATATGCATACTGATTACTAATTTGCACAATATGCATACTGATACCTAATTTCCATAATATGCATATTGATACCTAATTTCCATAATATGCATACTGATTACTAATTTGCATAATATGCATACTGATTACTATATGCATACTGATTACTAATTTGCACATATGCATACTGATACCTAATTTCCATAATATGCATACTGATTACTAATTTGCATAATATGCATACTGATTAC